AGCAAAGCATAGCATGGCATAGCATAGATCCCTTACAGCAGCAACGCACTACCGAAAAGGATGATGACTCAGATGGGGAATATGATGATTTGGCCGATGCGTGTGCGCAGCCGCGCGCTCCACCTTCCGCCACGCGTTAGCGGGCTCTGCCGCCGCCCGCACAGATGGCGGGCGATGACAGAGCCGAAACACAGGGCTGGGAGGACCCCTTTGGGTCCCAGGGTGGGCCAGCTTGACCCAGAAAGCTTGAGCGGGGACGAGCAAGAGGAGGGGGCAGCAAAGAGGAAGGGAAAAGGACAGGGGAAACAGCCCCCGCAGTCCTGGGGTCAGGGAGAGCCTAGCGTTTGACCAAACAACTAAGCTATCCCTTACAGCAGCAACGCACGACCGAAAAGGATGATGACTCAGATGGGGAAGATGAGGATTTGGCCGATGCGTGTGCGCAGCCGCACGCTCCACCTTCCGCCACGCATTAGCGGGCTCTGCCGCCGCTCCCGGGCGCGCCTGGCAGCGGTCGCTGCCGGCGCACCCTCCACTGCGGTCCGATCAGGGCGTGGGCAGCCTGCGGCCGCCGGCGCCCCCGGGGTTCTTCGCGCGCCCGTGCCTACGCGGCGCCAGCGCGAGGCGCGGCCAGGCGGCGCGCGCTGCGCACGCCGCCGGCTGCGCCCAAGCCCGCGCCGCCGCCCCCCTCACGACGGCACTGCAGTTGAGAATTCAGCGCCAGGCCGGCCGCGGGGAAACCCACGGGCCCCGCCGCTCGGGGGGCTCCGGCGCGGCCCCAGCTGCCCACGGGCGCCCGGCCGCCGCCGCCCCAGCGCCTCGCGGCCCGCAAGCGCACCGCTGCCCGCGGGCGCCCGGCCGCTCAGGGCCCCCAGCGCGGCCCAGCTGCCCCGCGGGCGCCCAGCCGCCGCCGCCGCCAGCGCCCCGCAGCCCGCAGGCGCACCGCTGCCCGCGGGCGCCTGAAGCGCTACGCTCGGCACCATGCGCCGGCGCGGCCCCGCGCGCCAGGCCGCGGCCGGCGGCGGAGCACCTCGTCCCCTCGCTCGCTCGCCAGGCCTTGGGCCGGCGGCGCCACTGCTCAGCCGTCTTGCGGCCCCTCCCGGCACCACTCGCTCGCCAGGCCTCCGGCCGGCGGCGCCACTGCCCCTCATCCGCGGCGCGGCTTGGCAGCCGCCTCGCGCGTGATATCGCCCCCGCGCTGGAAGCCCTGGTTCTTGTGGAGGTAGCGGGCGCCGTTGTAGTGCACCGGCCCCTGGACCCCCGCGTCGCAGTAGATCATCTTGGGCTTCTTGGGCGTCCTCCTATTGTCCTCCATCGTCCCCCTCGGCGCCCCGCTCGAGCCCTGGGGCCGGCGGTCCTGCCTCGGGCTGCACCGGCAGCGCCGGGCCATCGCCAACGCCGTAGCCAGCGCCATTACCAGTGAGACGATGACCTTCACCATGATCTCCAGGGGGATCGCAATGATGATGTCCTCCCCGTTTGCCGCCATGCGCACGCTGACGTGCTTCTTGTCCTCCTCCACCACCGCCAGCTCTTGGCCGGCCGCCGCGGCCTGCCCCAGCGTGGCCGCTGCCGCCGCTGCGGCTCCGAGAGCCGACAAGCCCCTGGGGGGGGCGCGCCTGGCGATGTCGCCGGCGGCTCCCTCCCGGGGCTTCGCTGCCGGCGTCGTCAGCTCTGAGTGGTCGTTGGCCATGCGCCTGGCTACGTCGCGCCGTGGCTCGTGCGACTCCCAGAGGTAGGCGTGGAACGAGTCCGACGCCCATCTCCCGTACCTCTGAACCTTGGAGAGGTCGTCCGTGACGTGGTACATCGCCGCGGCCCCGCCAATCCTCAGGGAGCGGGAGCCGATCTCCTCACGCCTGAGGCCTGCCGCCAGGCCCGCCAGCGCGAGGAAGTGCTGCACCTCGAGCTTCACGGGAGCGCCCGAGGCCCACCGGAACAGGGGCAGTCGCGCCTCCGCGCCGTGGTCGAAGCACTGCGGGTGCTGCGCCTGCATAGCCGCCAGGGCCTCGACGGGGCACAGCGCCCAGTGGGTGGCGTACTGGTTGCGCACCGACCCCACATTGCACTGGTCCGTCTTCGAGCCCTTAATGTGCAGCACGCACTCGTCGGCCCGGGCGAACTGGCCGATGCGCTCCCCCTCGAGTCTCGCCTCGATGCCCTCGCCGTGGACCACCCTGTCGACGGACCACGACCTCCCCGCCACCACCAGGTACTCCGACGCCCTCAACAGGAAGAAGAAGGCGAGGAGCACCGCGGCGCACAGCGTGGCGGCGTCGGCCTGGGACAACCCCGCATCTGCATGGATGTGCTGCTTGAACCACAGCAGCATCCGCGGGGTGACCGGCCTCTTCCACCTGCTGCTGGGGCCCTGTAGCCTTTTCAGGCCCTCCAGGGTCGTCCAGAGCCGCCCCCGGTGAAGCAGCGGGTCGCCGTACCCGACCATCAGGCGGGCGTACCTGATGGCGAACAGCTTCTGCTTCACCGCCCCCTCGGTCCGCGACAGCGCCACCGCCAAGATGACCACGAAGTCGATCAAGGCGTCCTCGTCGCTGGTCCGCTCGGCGCGGCCCCGGCCCTGGAGCCACGGGCCCAGCCCCTGGGCAGCGCGGTGCGCGGTCCACTGCCGCCAGCCGCCCTCGCACCCGCTGCGGGTGCCCTCGCTCAGCTTCTGCAGCATCACCTCCGTTCGCTGGTCGCGGTGCCACTCGCCGCAGCGCTCCCCACCCACCACGGGGTGGGCAGGTGGCGCCGGCAGGCTCTCGCGCGCCCGCCCCAGGGCCAGCGGCTGGACCAGGTCCGGCGTCGCCGCGGTCCGCTCTTTGCGGGCTAGCCGCGGGCGTGCACCCCGGGGCGTGCGAGGGCTTGCCAGGCCCGCATCCAACCGGACCTCGTCGGCGGAGGGCGGGGCGGTTGGGCCGAGGATCGTGTCTTCGTCGATCTGCTTGAACCTGATCCTCTGGATCCTGTGGCGCTTCTTGTGGATCTCCGTGGAGAGGGCACCTCCGGCTGCCTCCCTGTCCTGGCGCATGACTTCTGCTGCTGGATTGTCCGGGGCGATGGCCTAGGCCTGGAACCATCACTGCGTGGCCTCCCAGGCTGCCTGCTCCTCCGGGTCGTGGCAGACCCCGACCTTCTCGGTGTCCACGTCCAGGGCCAACGCGACCGCCCTGATCGCCGACTCCGGCGGCAGGGCCCGCACCGCCACGCGGAGCAGCTCCTCGCTGAGCGGCCCCCTCGGCCAGGTACTTGTCCCAGACGATGCCGCTGCCGCCCTGGAGGCGCCAGATCTCTCGCGGCGTGGGCGCCCTCACCCTCCCCTGCGCGCTGCCGGGGATGTACAGCAGCGTGGCGCCGGGCCCCGCGGGCTCCTTGCCTGGCCACCGTGGGTGCCGGCAGGGCCGCCCGGGCTGTGCAGCAGGTGCTTGACCCCCTCGATGGTGATGTGCCCAGCGGGCTTCGGCAACAGCGGGTTGCCAGTGGTGCGAATCCTGGGGTCGAGGAGGGTCTCCCCCTGGCCGTCCAGCCAGTCCCCGTCCGGGCTCGGCTCCAAGAAATGCTTGACTCTGCGAGCTACGCGGCGTGCCGGCGGCAACTTAATGCTCGCCAGGTAGCGCGTGAAACGGCCGCGGCAGGCGACCAGCACCAGCCTGGTCCTCGAGGCGGCGTCTCCATGCTCAGCACACAGGAGGTCGCGAGGTCAACGCGTAGCCGAGCTGCCTGAGGGAGCGCGAGTCCCACGGGCGTGTCGGCGATGACCACGCCGGGGCGAATTGCCCCACGCGGACGAGGAGGGCCTCGGTCTCGAAGCCCCGCGGGTCCAGGGTCAGCGACGTGAGCACCCAGGCGGCCGCCTGCCCATGGCCAGCCTCGCGTTCTCCGAGCTTGACGAAGACGTCTCGATACCCTTGGAGCAGCCCGCCCAGCTCGATGCCGGTCTGGCCGGTCAGAGGAAGGCAGGCCTTCGGCGCGCGGGCGTGCGCAGAGCCCGGCAACGCAGGGGCCTCGGCCAGCGGCCCCGTCTCGCTGGGGATC